TTAATTTAATGAGGAAAAAGACAAATTATAAAATAACAGGAGATCAAAAAGGATATTGCAGGTGAAAGGTGACAAATCACAACTCCAAGCAACATCTTTACAGGTAGAACTAATTAATTATAAAAGTATAAAGACAAAAGAACAGAAAAGTCATTATTGAAAACTGAATTCCAAGTTCATAATCCTTCCCTAAAATAAGTTCTCAAATCCAAGAAGCAAAGAGACTCAGAGGGGCTTTTTTTTTGTAACCTACTTGGCAACATCATCTGTCCTAAACAGATGTGAGGTTATTTATAATCTTTGCTTATCCCACTAAATTTGAATATTCATGTTTATACTTTTTATTGAAAAGACAGAATACCCAGAACTCAAAAGAGGTATTTTGCCCTGCTACAGACTCCATTAGAATGTTGTGTACATACGGAATATACATTTGTTACTTTCTAAAATGTGAAATAATTGTGAATTCTAAAACATATCCTACTCTGAGGGTTTCAGAAAGACACTGTGGACTAATAATAAAACAGGAGATCCACAAGTACATTGAAGATACAATGAGATTGAAGTACTTAGAAAATGCATAGTGGAAACAGGAAAAAAAGGATCCAATATAAGATAACTGATGTCTCTGATACAGGGAGACAAAAGAAGGGACTAGATGTCTGTATGAAGACCTAGTAGAAAGAAGGGAAATTTTTCTGCAACAAAGAACAAAAATGTTCCAAAACATATGTATGTAGGAAAGATTGATATGGAATATTCAATACCAAGAAGTATGACTTTCAAAGGTAAAGACTTCTTTAGGAATCCAGGCAAGAAAAGTCAGTTTATTTACGGAGGGAAAAGAATGACTTGCACCTCACCACCACAGTATTTAATTATGGAAATACTGGAAAGATACCTGCAAATCCATGGCCCAAGAAAATGATACCCAGTCAACTTTCAGTTAAAAAGAAACAGACTGATATTTTCACAGATAAATTCAGTCAGGGAATATAAGACATGTGTTTGTTGGGTTAAGGACATGTGTCCTTAATCTAACAAATTATAGTTTATTCTCAACAAAACCTCAGGAATAGAGAAATTAGTTCAAAAGGAAGAGTGATAAATAATCCATGTAAGGCTATCTCATCTAAGTTATTCATAAAAGTTCACAAAAGCTACCTTTTCTAAATATTTGTTTTAATCCTCCTGAACAGAGGATCGGTGGAAGCCCTTTCTGCTACACAATCCTTCCAGAGTTCATATTTGCTGTCTAGTATCTTAGTTTTACTTCTGACACACATCCCTTCTGAAAGTACCATTTTCTCTTACAGTTCATGCTTAGAAATGTTGACAAAATATTTTTCAATTTCTGGGCTCATCACTGTTTCTTGTAGGCATTCATTGATTTTCTACTTCCTTTAATATACCTCTTTGCAATTTTAGCGAGGAAGGGTTCTTTTTTTTTTTTTTTTTTGGCTTGAAAATAAAACAGCATTTTTGCCTTCACTTTTGATAATAACTTGGACACAGAATTCGCAGGTGATAGTTTTGCTTCTACAGCACTTTGAAGACAGTAGTCCATCATCATCCTGATGAACATCATTCTGGAGACGGCAGCTGCCAAATTTCTTGCACATTTGTGGGTAATTTGACTTTTCTATCTGGTTACTTTCAAATCTTCACTGTCACAGTGACGCTTCTGAACATTGACGGTTCTCTCCCTTTCTCCCTCCCTTCTTCCCCATCCTTTTCTCTCTTTTCCTCCCTCTTCTTCCGTTCCTGTTTTCCTTATTTTCAGATGTTCTGCTTCTCTTTCTCATATTATCTGAACTTTTGTTTTTTAGGTTGAACTTTTAAATAGAAAGCCTTTCAAAAAATTTTAAGGAAAATTTAAAAATGAGATTTCATTTACCTTATTCATTTGGAACTGATTAGTATCTTTATTATGCTAATGTTCCTACTTAGAATATGCATTTTACAACATCTACCTAGTCTACTTATTTTAAAATGTCCAATATTTGCTCAATGTCTCTGAATATTTTCAGAATTATTGTTTCATAAATGTATATTTTTGCTACATTTATGCTTTTAACTCGAATAGGCAATTTTCATTGTTAAAAATTCACATTTTCTACTGGTTACTGATGCATCCACTGATTTTTGTCTTTTTTTCTATTTGGATAGGTCAGTCTGTGGAGGAGAGACATTAAGTTCAAAATAAAAAAATCAAAAGTACAAATATAAATATAAAATATGATTTCTTTGTTAGTACTTAATTTTTAGGGACATTTTAGGCTTAGCAAAAAAAAAGAGAGAGAGAGAGAGAGAAAGATACAGAGAAACCTGTCTTTAAGAACAAGTGTACTCTAATTAATTAGACAAAATTATGCAACTAAAGAGTGTACTTTGTTTTCAAATAAACAGAGAAAAATAATTGAATATAATCATGAAAAAATGTTTAATATATATACTTTTCCTGCTAATATAAATATAGATGTATGCATCTGACTACAGAAAGTTCTGATTGTAAAAGCAGAACGAAATACAAAAAAGAACTGGGGGTATTAATATAAGTGAAGTTCGAATGACATGATGCTTGGAAATCTAAGTAAATTCCAGTCCAGGGTTGAAGAAATAGTTTCTAAGACAGAGAATATTGTCATTTTTTTTCCCAGCATGCATTTAAAAATATACCCTGGAAATCATAATACCAATGCCAATACCTGAAAATAAAGCAAAAGAAATAATCAATTTATAATTAAAAATACTGGAAAGAACTTAAGTGCTGCCTGACATTGTAACAACAAATCATGCCTGGTCAATTTAATTCTTTTAATTGTAGAATGACAATCTACAAAGTTAAGCATTTGAAAAACAATTTTTTAGTTTCAATAAGTGGTTTTTTTCCCCCTATTGTATATGGTATCTTATTTATGAGCTAAGAAGTATGATGTGATGTGCCATTCTCAGTGATTAGCTATCATTAACCTGTTCCCAGTTGGGCTCTCATTTAACAGGTGGTTTCAAGAACTCATGGTGTAGTTCTTCAGGAAGAGAACTGGGAACCTAAACAAAAGATAGGAGGTATTACTAAATACATAGCTATTACTAAGTTAAAGATGAGTATCTGGTGCCAAGCTTCAAAACACTCTTGAAAAATTCTAAAATACTAATTAATACTAGAAGTGAAAACTGTAGGATGTGATGAATCCCTTGGGAACACCATTCGGGTGGGCGGCTGCATGTTGTGGGGTGTCTGACTCTATAGGTGAGTATATTTCTATAAAATTCCCAGTGTTGTGTGTGGAGTAAAGTTGAGGTGGAATATGAGGTTGAGATGATCACAGATTAATAGGTGAAAGTAATACCCAGTATTTAAAACAGAGTGAATAGACGTATGGAAGGAAGGGCAGGGGAGGAGAAAAGGAAGGAAAGAAAAAAAAGATGGGAAGAAAAAGAAAAGAAAAAAGCAAAAGGAAAGAAAGATGGTGGGCCTCCCTGGTGGTGCAGCGAGTCAAAGCGAAGCAACGTGAAGGACTCTGCAGCCGCTTCACCACAAGCTGGATCCCCGCCCTGGAGGTGACCCACAGGGCCCAGCAGACCTCTGCTGACCCCGCCCGCTGCTCCCCTCAGCAGTGTACTTTGTCAGTCGGTCTGTACTGCTCCCCACTCTGTCTCTAGTGAATCCCCTCATGGCCCCTGAGCCTCTGGCCTGTACCCCAGTTCTGTATGCACAAATAAATAAAATCCTAAAAAATAAAAGAAAGATGGCAAACAATTTTGTTACATTGAAAAGCATGGCATACAGGTCTCAAATTTGACTCTTCTACACAGTAGCTTTTTTCCCTACTAGAACATTATGCCTCATTTTAGTCAGCACATTTTAAAGGATGTGAGGAAATGGAAATGGATTTGAAGAAGAGCAATGAAAATGATTGAAGGGCTAAATAAATATCCTAGGCTGAAGGGTTGAGAATCCAGTATTGTTTGGACTAGAAAAGGGACAGGTAAGGGATGATTTTTAGATCATTTCCAAGTATATAAAGGATTTTTGTGAAAGATAACTCCTATTGCTGATTTCTTAGGTATATAGAGGATGACAAAAAGCACAAAAGAGCTTTAGTTTAAGCAGAAAAGATCAGGTTTGGATACAAGGCAAATATCTGTTATCAAGGTGATAGAAATTTGAAATGACTTCTAAAGGAGCCAGTAGCCACACCAGTCTCCACGGTGAGCAGAACGTGACGCAAGAAAACTAGTTTAGCGGCCCCTAGAGTCTGACTGTAAATTGAGGCTCTAAGAGGGAGTGGGTGGAGAGCGAAGAGGGGAGGAATGTGGTGGAGGATTATGGGGCTTTGGTGGTGGCTGTGGTGTGATAATATTTTACACATCTGAAGATGTGAATCTATGGCTCTGAACCCTGTACAGTAAACTGATGTTACCTCAATCAAAGAAAAAAAAAAAAAAGAGCCAATGATGACTTCTATTCTGGTTCCAGAAACTATCTACTGGCGCACTGTTTTTAGGTAACTACGAACTGAGATTCACCTTTTAAAAAATTATTTTCTTTGAAAATATGTTTATTGAGATACTGTTAACCTGTCACACTGCATATGTTACCAATATCATCATCTCACCACACTCACTATCAAATTCCAATTAATCCTCTAGCCCAGTCCATTGGGCTCCCTCCTCACTTCAAACTAAGAAGGATTTGCAATTTTAAATCACTGAAAAAAAAAAGGAATATTTTATTACACGGGAAAATTATGTGAAATTCTATTTCAGTGTCCTTTCATAAAGTTTTATTGGCACATTTATTGGAACCATTCATTTGGTGTATTTTTGGTGGTAATTTTAGTCCATGGTCATGGCCGAATTGATTAGCTGTGACTGAGCCATATGGCTCACAGACTCTAAAATAATTACTATTTGACTCCTACAGGAAAAGTCTCCCACCCTCTGACCGCTACAATGCAGTCACTTACACAATTGGTGAGTTTTATCCCCAAAGTCTAGAAGCTTGCTCTGTTGTAGTAAAAATGGACCCCCCTGGGGTCGGCTGACGAATATAGGCGGCACATGCTTTGAAGCGTCTTTGAGAGCGTTCTGGGCCCACAGAAGAACACACCGATGTTGCTGCTGCAGGAGAGGATGAAGGGGCATGTCACACGGGGCAAGGGTGGCCAGAGCAGATGACACAATCAGCCAAGTGTTTGTGCCTGGGACTTTTTCTTATCTTTCCCTACCCACTTCCAGTGTCCTTTAATAAAGTTTTATTGGCACATTTATTGGAACTTAGAGTCACTTTTCTTACTTTGAGCTCCATACCCTCTCACAGATTCACAGAGCCTTCGACATCTGAATCACACAGGCAGGTAGACCTGAGAAGGTTGAGATGGACAGGGCTGTGCCAACGGGAGAGGGGATTTTGACGTTGAGGGGATCTTGCCTAGATTTTTTGTCAGGTGACCTCAGTTAGTGTCCTCTTGGGTTGGTGACCAGATACAGGCTTCCTGTGAGCAGGAACTGGGGCTGAGTACCCTCTTTTCCTCATCACAAAATGGGAAGATGGTCATTGTAACACCACCCCCCAGGGACAGTACCCCCAGCCACAGACCATACGTGTTTGTTGAATGCACAAATGACCTTGCTGACTATTACCTGTATAGTCTTGGTCAAGATGCTGGATCTCAGTCTCTACATGTGAAAAACAAAGATCAGGACTATCTAACTTTGAAAGCAAAATGCTTATTTGAAAGCAAAATGCAACAAAGCATTTGAAAAGTTTTTCAGGGTGCCAGTGGTTACTAATGCCCCATCCCACCCTGTCTCTGTGTAGATAATGAAATTCACACTAAATAATAACAGCTTAGTACATTTCTCTTGCTGGAATTTGCAAAGATGGTCAAGAAGAAAGTCAGAAAGGAAAAAGCTGTGACCGAGAATGAAGTCACCCAAAAGTTCCACCTATGATCGTGTTGTTTCAGGAGACTGGGTTGGGGGTATTTGGAGGTGACTGTGCCAGGGCCAAGTAGGCCCCAGGTGGTCCCGAGTGCACACAGCTGCTGGCTCAGGTACAGGAAAAATGTCTGGGTGGAAAGATGCAGGTTGTCTCTGGAAGTTAGGAGGAGCCAGTCTCTAGAGGGTGTACAGAGACCACGTTTCCCCTGGCCTTGCATTGAATCAGCCTTTGTAGCATTTTTCCAATCTCTGGCTCAAGCTGAATTAGTTATTCTAGACCAAAATTTCTTTTAAGGCCTCCCTAATGGTGCGAGGGGTTAACTCTCAGCACTGTGGCGCTATCAGCAGCTACTGCAGCACTAGCTAGAGGTCAACTCCCCAAGCAGTGTATTTCTGTCATTCTGCCTGTTCTGCTCCCCACTCTGTCTCTGGTAAATTCTCTCACCCTCCACACCTCTGGCCTTCACCTAGCTCTTGTGTGCATAAATAAATAAATCTTAAATCTTAAAGGTAATTCCACCCCCGCCCCAGTTCTCATAATTTTTCTGGACATAAAATCATCTAGGTAGATTGTTAAAACATAGGTTTTCAGATTCAAAACTCAGGAAAGCACTTTCAGTGAGACCCCAGGTAACATGGAAGAGTGTGGTCATGTCAACCACTGTCTTAGAGAAACTCCTGGACTCCAGGGTGAGGCCACTAAACAACTAGATTCACACCTAGTTTCTATCGAGAAGTGTTTCTATTGTCTTGTTCTTATTAGCTGATCTGTTAACATGGTTCTCTGGTGTGTACTGTACCCACACTTTAATTATGTGTTCCAGGCCCCTAATACCATGGTAGAAATTGATGGTTCACTTGCATTTCAAACTCTAGCTTCAAAGGAACTTCCTGAGTAGATTCATTTGTAAATGACAATATGTTTAAAATGTGTAAGTAGTATTTTTTATGATATCATTCCCACGGCTAACCTCAAGAAAGTGCTTTTATAGAAACTATTTCCCACCAAAAAATGAGTCTATGAATGAAGCAATTTTAAGGTGCTTATGAAAAAGATGGTGGAGAGAGCAGTTGGTTCCACTGCTTTGTTGCAGGGAGCTTTAGGCATCTCAGTGATCTCCTCAAAGGCCCCATTTCCTTATCTGTGAGATGAAGAAACTTCCAGCATCTGTCCCAGACCTCTGTGGGAACTGGGTAAGCACCACCGCCCAGCCGCCCTCCCTGTGGGCACCAGACTTGCTCTGTCAGGACCCACAGGATGCCGCCTACCCCCCGATGCCAAAGAGAAAATGCCAGTGTCTGTTAACCCAGGGATGATGACACACTTCTTGGACCAGCACTCCAGCTCTTGGTTTTTTGAGTCCCGGACTGAAACACCTGAGCGGGGCGGACAAAACCCTCCCCAGATAGGCTTCACAGTGGGGTGTGGCATCTGATGTCCAGAGGTACCTTGCACCTAGGTTCAAAGGTGCTGTCGCCGTGTTCGTATATTTCTACTAGTGCCAGCATCACAAAGAGATGCTCACTGGCCCTTCCCAGGCAGGTTGGGATGGCCCTTCCCTCTGCAGTCACCGAGACTGTTTGCAGACCCAAGAAGGCCCTTGGATGCCGACCTGGAAGACTCCATTTCAAAGGGCTCGACTGCCAGCTGCACCCCGAAAGCCCCAGCAGCTCGACTGCCAGCTGCACCCTGAAAGCCCCAGCAGCTCGACTGCCAGCTGCACCCCGAAAGCCCTAGCAGGTGGCACTACCTCTCATGCTTGGAAGCTCTGGCTATTGCACCACGCAGCTCAGTACACATTTTTGATTCATGTCACCGTCTTGGTGACATGAACGCCAAAAGGCCTCACGAAGTCCGGTCACCCATTCTCTACTTCCTGCTAAGGCGGAGGGGCTGAGTCTGTCGTCCCCAGGCCCCGTGCTCTGCGTCACTTGCCTTGCTCAGCTCAGCCCTCTCGGCATTTCTGATTTCAAGTCTGATTACTCGTTCTAAAAGCAGGTTGTGAGTCACGGAGCAGAGACTGTACAGGCAATGGAGGCAGAGATGCAGCAGCGTTTTTCCCGCTTTTACGAGGCTGTGGCTAAGGGTAACAGAACCCTAATGAGGTTGGTAAAGAAAAAAATCTTCTATAAAGTTTAATTACCCACGATTGCTTAGAATTAAAAAAAAAAAAAAAGATTCCCTGTAAAAGAAGTATAAAAACAGGAGGCATCATTCTCCAGTTTACAGCCTGCAGGATTGCGCCCGCGCGAGGACTTGGCTCAGGGACAACGCCAGCAGCATTGATCGTGGGAGCCGCTGACTTTGATGAGAAAAGGACGAATTTTACACAGACCACAAACATGCCTAACCTTCACAGCATTATTCTCAGCTCTGCTAAGTGATAAAGAAAATCCTCCCGTCCCCCGTCGCATTTGCTAAATAACTTCTGGGTCTTCTCTGTGGGGTTGATGCATTTTGCAAAACAGGTCAGAGAAGCCTTGAACGAAAGGCGCCCAAATGTCACTCACCGGGGGTCTGCGCAGGGCAAGCAGCCGGGCGAGCATGCGCCCAGGGGCCGCCCACCCTCTCGCTGCACTCCCGCCTTGTGCTCTCTTCTCTTTAAATTGTATGTTTGTTTTTATGTGTTGACTTTTATGCGTGGTAAGTTATAACCCTGTAGGGGCAGACCCTAAACCCCATTAAAAAAAATCAAATTACTTTATACCCTGAGTGCATTCAGCAAATAAAATCGATAAACAGAAGCTTCCTGTGGATTTATGGGGGCTTAGAAAGAAGAGAATGAGCGTGTACTAACTGGGTCTCAGACAATGGACACCACTTTTGGATACTCTCCTGGAGAATGTTTTTTATTAGAAATGCCTCCAAATGATTCAGTGCATAATTATATTTTGCACAACACCTTCTTTTTCATAACCACAGATGATACTTGTGTTGGCCATTTTTAACCCCATCTCCCGGTGGATTTGTAGCAGTCTGCCGGGGTACCTTTCTCTGCTTCTTAATAACTCAGCTATTTATTACGGACTACAACACGCCGTCCCTAACAGTGCTTGCTCATTGCCATCGCACTCCCCTGCTCCTTTCCCACCAGCTCCACATCCTCTTTGGTGAGTGTGAAGGCCCTTGTTGGTTTCCACATCCACCCCACCACCCCTTCATTTGCTAATGCTGGCCAGGTGCTCAGTCCAGACCCATAGAAATAGCTGCTGCCCCTGAGGACTGTAGCGTCAAATAAAGGAAAGAAGTAGAAAAGTAGTAGACTGTGGACAGGCTCTCAGGGAAAGAGAGAGCTGTTTTCTGCCAATTCGCTCCTCCTTCTTGCTGACAAATGGCTGAAGTATAGACATCTTTCTATGGAAAAACCCCAGGAGATTTTGCCATATCATGGATGATGATGCAACATCCAAGAAACTACAGAGTAACACTAGCTCCTCCTTGTGCTCACCCACAGTTCTTAACCCCTCATGCAAATACAAGTACTTTCCATGGAATGTTCTTGATTAGAACTGGAGAGCAGCCTGTCCTCGGGTGGAAAAGCTCCATGTAACTATGCTAACAATATCCCCGTGATAAGTTTATGGTGGTTTTGTTTTTTCTCTTGCAGCTATAATTTATCATGTGTGGGACTTCCATTTAAGTCTATTTCTTTGACAATTCTAAACATGTTAGTCATAAAATGAACACTGAGGATATCCTGTTAAGTAGGAGGCCCCGATGCTATAAGCAGAGTGTTCATTTCGAAAGATATCATTTTAAAACACCCTGCCCATATGTACACACCAAGAGGCCTGGGGATGCTCCAGATGGACACGCTGGCTCCATTTAGCACACAGGTATTTTTGCGTTTCTGAAAATAACAGGCCCGTGAAATGGACTAGATGCTCCCAATTATATGGAAAGTCAACATCTTCCTTCCTCATCAGGTTGGGTTGCACTGGCCCCCTGAAGGCAGTTCCATGCTCATCTTTACTTTCCTCTACAAGACTAAAGAAACACTTCTACTGAAGTTTTGAGGAAAATGGCTAAATCTGCAAATTTTTTTTTATGGTTATTAATTGCATAGTTTTCCACCTACAAGGCGCAGGCAAATTATCAGTAGACAAATCAGAGGTAGCAAACTATAAATGTTAGTGAAGTGCAAGATCAAAGATGGAAGTTCTATGAAAAGGCATTTTATTCAATTAATTCAAAACAACTGGTCCACAAATCCAGAAGGTTGAGGACAGGTACAATGTGTGTTTATCAAGAGTTAGCTACAATGTGACAAAGATATATTTATTTTCATTCTGCCTACCTTTTGGGAAACGATGCACTGAAGTTCTGAACATTTGTCTAAAGCTCGGGAACATATTGAGAATGTTCACGAAAACATGCAATGCAGCTTCCTTTTTTGTATACATGAACAATTCTATAGATTAGCAAGACAGATCTCAAGGCATGCATTTAATTAACCTACTGTACTTTAATTAGGAGAACAGTTTCCATTGTTTTTATGTTTAGAGCACTTTCTGTGCTCGTCTAACTTAAGCCATACACAACAGTTGCCACATACACGTGGCTTAGGGTGTAGCAGTCAAAGACTTACTTTTTATAAACCCACTTGGTATTTGTTGATCTTCTTTTAAAACTATACTCGTGTTTTTGCAATACAGCTGATATACTTATGAAAATTAATTGCAAATAAAAACAATGGGATACACTTGCCCACTTTCAGCTTTTGATCCCTTTTTAATTTTTTTCTTCCCCTTCCCTTATTTGTATTCATTTTGAAGCCCGTCAATTTGTTTCTCTATTACTGTTATTTCTGCAATTTTCTGGTTCTTTCAGAGCTTGCACTATTCTCTTTGATCTGCTTCCCTTGAGCTTTATTTTTGGTGCTGTTTTTCATGTTCTATAAAAAATATTTTTGCCCCTTTTTTTATTCTTTTGATTTAACTCCTTCTTAGAACAAGTGCTAACTCCAGCATTGAGTGAACAGGTAAATGTTTTTAAGAGTAAGCCCTAAGAATCCTTGGCTTCGCACTGATGAATAGAAATGGTTGAGAGCCTACTTCAAAGGCCCTCAAGAACAAAGAACCTTTTCTGAGGCCATGGACAAATCCACCAATTCTTTCTGACTCATCTTTGCCAAAAGATATGAGCTAATGACAAGCCAGACCTGTCTTAGAAGAGTAGCCAAGTAGGCTTGGGAACAAACATATCCTTGACATAATAAGGGGAAAACATACTGTTTATCTCCTTAATAACCATCTTGAGGAAAATTAATGTTACTTTGTCCTTTGTGCAAAGCAATAATTGGATTGTGTGTTTCATTTATATCTGGACAAAGGCCAGGATATTGAAATACTTCTCAATATTAGATTTTCTTGTTTAAAAATTAGATTTTATTGGCATTCTCTTTCCGAGATTTCTTCATTAAAAGCTTCATTAAACATAAATCTTTTTTTTTTTTTTAACACAGCAGAAAACAAGATTATTTTAAGGAGGTCATTTAAAAATCTCTTAGAAGGGTGGTGCTAAGTTCTTTATGGGTGACTTGCTTTTTTTTCAGACCAGGGATGAAATAATAATCTATCTTTGCCTACATGTGTCTGATATTAATTACACTGATCGCTGGAGCTAAGTTACAAGTCACAGAGTTGTAGAGTATAAGGCTATTACAAGTATGGGATTTATGAAATTTGAGGTTAGAAAGTCAATTGAGAGGCTTGGGTCAGTGACATCGAAATCTTGGGGATCTTTTCTATCCTGTAAGAAATGAAATCATCCTTCAAAAGAGACTGTTACACAACTACTATGCTGAAAAATTCAACCAGGCTAGAAGTCTGTCTATGTTCTGAACTGTGATGATGGCTTCTCAAGAGGAATGGGCTCCTTTCTTACAGGGCAAGGAGAAAAGTAACATTTACTTTCCCACCTTCAAACTGTACCCTGGTCCTCACTTCCTGCAAAACCAGACAGACTACCATGCCAGCACAATCCAACATAACTTTGGGAGTTGAGTTTGTCCAAACTCAGTTCCTCTCTCAAGTTTTTCATACTGTGTTTCTAGTTCACACCTTTCTGAGGGAAGGGAGATAATGAAGTAGTTTGTATTGAAAGGTTGCCCCATTAGGCTGCCCAGCTTGTGTGTTAGCAAAAGACACATGTGTAATGAGAGATGTCATAATAAGAGTTTTCTGTCAAGATGCATGCTTGTGTCAGAACCTGCTGAGTGGGAACATTCACTCCATGATCACTGGAAATGGAGTGTCCAACAGTTATCAGAAGAACAGATTTTTTTCCAAAAAGAAAATTTGATTAAAAACCTCATTGCAGTGGTAACACAGGAGTTTGTAATATTTGTTATCTTTTCTACTGATAACCTTTAATATGAAATAGGTAAACTGAGTCATTCATTCTCTGCTTCTGGACAAACACCTGATGGGTGGGAGTGAAGACAGTGAAGACAGTGATAGGGCTCAGAGAAGTCTGGGGTTTCCGGAGTAGGACTGGATGTCGGGTAGGGAATCACAGGAGAAACAGATTCTGAGATTCCCAGAGGCTGGCATGGGTTTGAAGCACCCACATTTGGAGAGCAGACAGAATTTCAGAGCTGGTTCTAGCCCCACATGTCAGTGAGAAATATAAGAAAATATTAGAATAAGTACCCAAACTGATGAGAAAGAGATTATACTGCAGAAAAGTATTCCATAAGGCTGAAAATATGATAAATAACTACAAAAAGTTTAACGGAGCAAAAGCCCCTGTAAAAGAAGACAAAGTGACAGTACCTGCACTGGCAAGAGAGATGAGAAGATCATAGGGAAATCACAGTAATTAGAGAATTAATCAGAAGTACCCGCATAAATTTTAACTTTCTCTTAGTGATTCAATACTGGAAAAAAAATGGACAGAAGAACAAAGGTGAGGATATAGAAGACCTAAATGATAAGGTTAACAAAATGCCTAAAAGTAATATGTGTTAAACACCATAAACTAAAAATAGGGGCTATATTTCTTTACCCTCCAAATATCATAGTTTCCAGAACTCCTGTTGATCTACATGCATTTTTGTCCATGTCACCCACTGTCATAGCTCCAAACACAGTTTACAGGCTGACACCTCCCAAATGTGTAGCTTCAATTTGTCTTCTGGGTCCCTAAGTCATTATCTGCCTACTCGACTTCTTCACTTGGATGTAAATGGCACCTTACACTAAAAATGTAAAAATTTACAACTCTTGTAACCCCACTTTTGCTATCCTGTCCCTCTTTAGGTAACCCAGTGTTAGTAAGTGGTAGTTCCTTTCAAGCTTGGTACTGGCCTCCCATTCAATCCATCAGCAAGAACTTCATATCTGCTCACCCCCCAAAGAAGGTCCCAAATACAATTGCTTGTCTCCATCTTCATTTTCTGTCCCTGCTAAATCAAGCCTCGACCACTGCACACTTCCTCACCAGCCTCTGCACGTCTGCCTCTTATAATCTACTCTCACAGCAGCAAGAGTGAGCCCATTAAACACCATTCCTCTATTCAACCATTAAGTTGTTTCTCCTCAGAATGAAATTCAGGGACTTGTAATGTCCTCCCACTGAGTACCTTCTCCTGGAACTTTTCTTTTCACTCACTCTTTTCCAATGACTCTGGTGTCCTGGCTCAAGCCAGGAGCAGTATCTGCTGCCTTAGGACCTCCACATGTGTTGAACTTCTGCTCTTTCCTAGTGATTTACATGGCAAAATCCCTCCATTCTCCATCTCCATGTCTCTCCTCAAAACATGGAAGCTATTATTTAATTGAAGACAGTATTAAAGCATGTTGACTTTTCAGAATTGCAGATGATGGGGGTTCAAAACAAAGACCAATTCAGAGGTCATGTAATAACAATTTTGCATGAGTACTTCATATTTGACCAAGTTCAGCAAAGTACTGTTTTTGTTATGCCAATAAAAACAATGCTGTGAATGTATAATATCATACACATTTTATGATGTGGTCAAAATGCTTAGATAAGCTACTTTGTTCAAGTTCACATAGCCAGCAACTTCTAGAACTGGAAAACATAGGCCTAACGCCTGTCTCAGGGGCCCAGAACACATGCTTTTCTCATCCGCAGAGAAGTTTATTATGACAAAATCACAGCGGCGGTAGGCACCTACTACAGCTGCTGCTGCTGTTGATGATGATGATAGCAAATACTACCTGTATTTGAGTGTTTTGAGCACACTTTACACGTATTTTCTCATTTGATACTCATAGAACTCAAGAGGTCAGCATTATTATTATTTGCAGATTACAGAAGAGACCCAGTCAGTGCCAACAATAATCTGTACCAGGTAAATTCATGGTAATGGCAGGGCCAGGATCTACACCCTGGCAATTAAAGAGCCACCCTGGACTGCTGGCTCTTTAATTCCCACCCTTCATCATTGCCTGGGCTCAAACATTTCCTGTCTGCTTTGCTAGACATGTCACAGTTTAAAGTGGACAGAAGTGAACTCTGCATGTGGGTAATTAGAAGTCATCTGTGTTCACTAAAGAATTCTTGAAGAGATAAGAATCTCAGTTTATTTCAATGAGTTTTTTAAATTTTACTGAAAATTGTCTGCTATTCTGAGCCAGTCTCAGAGGGTGTTATGGATCCTGAAATATCCACTGACTGCCCTTGCTAACCAAGGCCCATGTTTTCTCTCTCAATGAATGAGATGCCCATGAGTGTAGGTAAAGTAGCTCATGGTCCAGAACTTTCTATTTCAGCAGCAACTGGCATTTCTGCAGGAGGTTCCCAGTAGGCAGAAGAAAAAGACCATGTCAGTTCCTTACCGTGGGTGATTGCAGGCGAGCTGCTGAAACTCCTTGTTCCAGTTGGGTCTTCCATAGAAGGTTTTCTGCTTTAACCCCGTAATCACATCAGTATTTTCATCCCAATGTAAAGCTATGTAAATAGCCTAAAGCAAAAATTGTGGTATCAGATGACAGGAAGAAAAAAGTAAAGAACTGTACTAAATGAAAGATGAAGTAATTATGCTCATTTATAGATCTAATTCACAAACCAATTTCTTGTGGGGCTCGAATGGCTCCTCATTACCATCAGCCCTCACTGACTGCACACTTCAGGACAGGCATCTGCTCTCATTTCTCTTTGTATTCCGCCTTGGGCGTTGTCGAAGCAAAAATGCTTTACACGTGGTAGATACACAAGCACATGATGCTAGAATGGGTATTTTCGTCTTGTAAAAAATGAGTGTAATATAGTAGATATGGTTAAGGGAAAACAAGCACTAAGCTACTTCTCTTTTTCTGCCAAACTTCTCAAAAATAATCCTGACTTTTATCCCCTTTCATTGAATATTAACCTTTGTGAATGTGAGGGAGGCCCTGACAGACTGAGGTGATAGGCCTTACCCAGAAGACGCTGGCCCTACTGCCTGGTCATGGGGTGCAGATCATCTGAATGTACTGTCTGGGGGCTGGATACAGTGGGGTCTGGCAGACAGAACAGGTGGCCAGAGCACGGCAAGAGTGTGCTTGCCATTTGCTTTCAAATTACACGACTATATCCAGGCGACAGGTAACTAGAGAATAAGCAAATACTAAGCTCATAAACCAGAGCCTGGGCCTACCAATGCTGCTTAATGATGACTTTTTTAAAAGCTGCTGTAAATTGTATAAGCTCCTGGTGAATTCTGGTTGCCTCCTTCTTACCTTGTGGGGTGTGGTGTCCCCTGAGCTTATCCCTTAGACCCATACACCATTCTTTGAGCTCACATGCTGTGTCCATTGGTGCTCCATTTACTTACATTTTCTGCCTCTTCTTGTTCTTGACCAATTGGGTTATACCCTTGCTAGACATGACTTTACCCCAGGATTCTGCGACTGCCCTGACTTCCATGACTGGACTTAACACTCTATCTAAGAATCCAGAAACAGGGAGGTGGAGTGGAGAACAATGGAAGAACCTTGAAGATGACAGAATCTCAGAAGTCTAAACCATAGGAAATCCCTGTGGTAAGTCTGATCCCAGGAAACAAGGCCACTGATATAACCAACTTTGGGAACTGGAGTCCAGACAAGGAGAGAGGTGGGTCGGACCTTCTTATGAGGCAGGTTCATCAAGGCAGAAGTATGAGACAAGAGTTTATGAGTCAGGTATGAGTTGTTATTTGAGGAATGGACTTTAGAAACTGGCAGGCTCCGTTATCAGAGCTGGAATTCCAGAGTTGCATTAGCTTCCAGGTCAGAGTCTGGCACTGCAATCCCACAATGTCTTTGCTTAATGATAGACTTGGCTGGGGCTGTACAGTAAGCTGTGTAGCTGAGGGCCGAAGAAGAATACAGACAGTCAAGGTAGTTTTGACTAAGTACCCAATGTAATGACCAACTGAGAGCTTATTCTCCTTAGTTTCTCCACCAATGGCTGGACATTTCTCCTTCTTGAGTCTAGCTGCACTGTAGAATCCTAGTTCTCTGACTTCTCTGATTTTTCTTTTTGATTCAAGGAAGAAACTTTAGATTTTTTATCTTATATATTTACTTCTGTCTCAGAAATTTTGCTACATTTCCATTCTCTATTCTCAGCAATCTGTACCACTTTTGGACCAGAACTCTCCAAAAAGCTTCCATTTTTCATGACCCAAGTAGCATAATCTACAAAGTTGAAGCCAAATTCTCTCCTAAGCTCTATCTTCCTTCGTGAGAAAAGTCCTACGTCTCAAACTCCCCAGAGTATACACAATTCTTCCAAATTGATCATCATAGATAAGATAATCATGCCAATTCTCAAATAATTTGTGCATCAAGATACTTCTACAGGCCCTCCCTGGTGGCGCAATGGGTTAGGACACAGCACTGCAAACGAGCTGCCACCATTTCAGTGAGAGCTAGATCCCTGGCCCAGGAGGAGATCCATATGGCGCGGCAGACCTCTCCTGTCTTGCCCGCTGCTCCCCTCAGCAGTGTACTTCGTCGATCTGCCTGGTCTGCTTCCCGCTCTGTTTCTGGTGAATTTTCTCACCACTCCTGCACCTCTGGCCTATACCACAGTTCTGTACGCATAAATAAACAAATCTTTTTTTTTTTTAAAGATACTTCAACATACAGCTTTTGAGTGAGATCTACAGGCAAGCAGTGTGCCGCAAATGGGGTGGTACAGAGAAGAGAGAAAACCTCTACTTTGTGAAGAACTGCTCCCGAGGAGGAGCAGCCTGTGAGGGCAGCTATTGTGATCAGCAAGATTCTTGTTAACTAGAGATAGAAACAAAGCTCTGGAAAAGGACACCAATGACTCTGGTGAAGCCCAAGACGTTTCCACTAAGAAAACCGCAGCAGGCTCTCAGAGGACTGGGCTCTGAGGTAGGGTCCACGCTGCAGACAGGGGTGGGGGGGGCACCAGGGAGTTAGTGACAGAGAAGCACCCAGGTGGCCCTGAGGGGAGAATGAGCAGGGCACCGTGGCTCCAGTCCAGTGGGATGTGGGGGGAGGGGCTGGAACAAGTGGGCATGCCAGGTTGACAAGGGTCTTCGCATCCTTGACAAAAATATTGTGCGTCATTTAATAGAATAAAAGGGCCTTTCCTAATCTTGTTAGAGGTATTGCTGAGCTACTGATCACTGATGTTGAAACATTTGGAATATATTTGTTACATATTTCTCAGCCTGGTGTGCAATTAGTCTCCAAACACTGTCAATTTGCCCTTCAAAATACCTTTCCCATCTGTCCCTTCTGTTCCTGTCATTCTGCCACTTCGAGGTTGTTGAATTCAGTCTAACAATTGGCTATTTCTAAAACAGTCTCTTGATTCTTTACTGACAGAATGTACCAATTATTTTTTTTTCCCCCGGAAATGTGAGTGTCTAAAGAATTTTCAACATGTCATGGTAAAAATTTAAGAACACATCTATTTTAATTTACTTGTATTTGGAAAAGTATATTGTATTTACTCATGGAAGTGGCAGTGATGTGATGGGGCAGAGGTGTGTTTCACAAAATCAAAGTGAGCCTTTGCTTCATAGCTACCCAATGTCCTAGCTGACAGCATGGTGTTCTCGTTTAGAGCAAGGTGGTTCTAGAAAGCCAAAGCCAAAGCTGGGTTTGTACTTCACCAAATGGATCATTAGTCAAAATTCCCACTTGAGTAAGGAAAATGTTTGTTGGGAACACATAATTAACACTATTTAATTCATTAAGAAGTTTCAAGCCTTGTTCCCAGGAAATCTATATTTCAAATTATCTCAGAGGAATAAATGTTTAAGAATTTACAAAGAGGAAGCTAAAAATTCATTTAGCTACTGAATTTCAAGCCCAGTCTTATTATTCATTTGCAGAAGCAGAGACAAATTACAGTGATGCTCTATTGGGCCTATATGGGATGTGTGTGTGTGTGTGTGTGTGTGTGTTTTGACAGAGAAAAAGTGATGGAGATGAGAGAAAGAGGGAGGGAGAGAGAGAGACAGGATGCAGGCACAGGAGAAAGCTTACAGACATGCAGGAGCATTCGTTTGTAAATTTAGTGATTAATGCAAATCTCCTTAGCTCAAACACACTTTCCTTAAAGTAAATATTAATAGTAGCTGCTACAGAAATGCTGATTACAACACACTTTCATAATCTAGCAATCATTTCATTGTTGTCTTCCATATTTGAGGAGTTAAAAAAGATTTAAAATTTAATCGTTACCATTCAATATTGTCAACACTGAAATACTAGTCATGCAGTACTTTAATATACACTATTTTTGATCAACTCTTAATATTTCATTAATACAGTATTCTGCAGAAACCTGTCATAACAGAAGATCATTTTGATCTTAGACAAATAAGCACATGTGTATACAATTTTCAGACATGTTTTAAGAAAAGGAAATCTCTAGATAAATCATGTATTTGACATAATTACTTTCTGTAGAAGCACACATACTTTACAATACAAAATATTGGCTGTAAACACCTGGGAATCTTTCTGCCTAATGCTGAACAACATAAAGCATAGAATTGGAACCAATTAGGAACTCAACGAGACATAACAGCCAGTCAATAATATTTGCTTGATGTCACTAAAATGCAAATACAACATTTTGTGACATCATATTTATTTCTTGGATTCCCAAGAATTGTCTTCCATTAACCAACTGCTTTCCCTATCTTCTTTTCTATTCTCCAGCAAGTTATCTGTAGTGCTTTGATTGTTACAATTTGAATAGCTCTTTCTAATCTGGTTTTATTCTCCTTTCTTACTTAAGAACATAAAAAATGCAATAATTCTTTCATGCTACCAGATAACTATATTGCTCACTATTGAAGTTCTTTCTTTCTTTCTCTTGACTCTATTATGAGGCAAGTTAGATAATATTGCTTGTTCTCAGAGTCATGTCAATACCTGGTTTTCATCCCATCCAGTGAGAAATATATGATAACTTAGACAGTGAGCTCTCCCTTGTTCACTCATGCGTGTTTCCAGAGAGAGTAAGAGATCAGCAAACCATTCAAAAGAACTGGGGTCCCGACAAATCCAGTAAAAGTAGACCTGCAAAGAGAGAAGGCTTGATGAGCGATCTGTCCCTCTTTCATAATGTGCTGATAATCACAGACCACTTTATATCTATTAAATTATTTGAGCTCAAATGGGCACTTCTGCAAAATAACACGCTTCTCTCTGCCAGTGAACAGTCACACTGTGATTTCTTTAAAAAAAAAAAAAAAATCACATTGTGTTTGAAAAAGCCCAGAGCGAATTCAGAGAGTCAGGAGCCTGAGGGCTGTTGCCAGTTTTTCTGGATTAGGATCAATTCAACACATTCCTGGCTGAGCTCAGTGAGGTTAATAATCATAACTAGCTGTGCCTTTCACTGCTCCCCATGGGCGATAAACCCTCCGACCAAGACCCTTCATCTGTTCTTATGACCTAAACTTGGATTTCAACACTCTTCTCCAGGGACCCCAAAGACTGGTGCTCTGATCCATTTCACTGGCAGGACCCCCTAGAGGGTGGGGTTATGGGAACGGCAGGATCAAGTCTCCCAGCCCAAGTAGTTTCCCCTCAGTCTGACAGGATCTATGTTTAAGGAAGCTAGTGCTTGGTGCTGTGGTGTGTGACAACCCTTCTAATGGAATTAGGTCTAGAAAGAGTTGCTTCGCAATTCTCTGGGTTTAGTAAATGGCATATGACCAAGAGTAGTTTGGGTTTGCTACAATCAAGGCTTATCTTTTCTGCCTTGAGTTTCTGAGAATTGTATCTAGAAAAAAACATGGGAGCTCAATCTATTAATTCTCTAGATTTTTTCTCACCTTTTTAACCACCTGCTGCCCACTCACTGGCCAGATGTCACCAGACATCGCTTCCTGAACAGGATAGACTGGGAGCTGGTCTTGATCTCCATTGCAAAATAATCTCCAATAACCAGTTCTCCCTGCCACCCCTGCCAGTTTGTCTGCAAGCTCAAAATCACACAAAGAAACTTATCGATAAAATTTAATTAACCGATCAAATTCATGAGAACAAAAATCACAGAATGTATTTTCAAGGCTAAACATCTTGCCTATTCTCTGCAGGTTTATGCAGGAATTTATAATATTAACAGTTAGGGAGAACAAAAGCCAGTGAAGATAAAACCTTCTCTCAAGAATTAGTCTGGGTATTTGTTGGACAGTTGCTGCTTGGAAGGGTACTTTGAATATTAATCCTGGGACAAATGTTTCTCCTCAAGCCCGCCCCCCCCCGCAAGGAGTACCTGTCTCTTCTTCGTTGTAAAACGGAACCAGGGGTTCTCTCTGGTGGGTCCCTACCAGCCCTCACATGTTCCACCATTTGCTGGTGCAACAAATGGGCAGTGAATACACAACATTCCAAGACTATTCCCTGCTCTGCAGCTGTAAGTGCAAACAAGACTGAGAACAATTCCTGGTGCCTGCAGAGTTTGCAACTGACAGAAAGACGTTATTAATAAGTAAAATACAGATTATGCCAGAGGGTGATAAGTACGGTAGAGAAACATTAGATAGACCGGAAAGGGCTGCGTATTAAGTCAAAGGAAGGGACATCTGAACAGAGAGCTGGTGGGGACAGGGATGACGGGGTCGAGGGAAGAGCTAGGAGGGAAGTGGCCACGAGGGACCTCTCAGGGAGGAGGATCAGGGAGGGAAGGAAGAGCAGCAGAAGAGGGGGCCGGTCAGGGAGGAACAGCTTTGCTTTGCGGCCATTTTGACTATCACCCAATGTTGACGGAAGTGAGTGAGTGAGATGCTCCACGCGCAGGAGGGGCATGTGCAGGAGAGCGGCGCACGTGAGCTGAGGAGCCACCAGGGCAAGGCGACCTTCCTCTTTTGCTGAGAATAAACCGCGAGGCATTAGGGGAAAGAAGGCAGATGCCTGAGTCCAGGAAACGGATTTTGCAACCTCTGTTGGAGTCGAACACGGCCATCTTCTTTCTCAATTCGTGCTGTTGTGCCTAATCTGAATAACCCTCTGAAAACCTTCCCCCTCACCGGAGCTTGCTTTGCTCCCGGTAGAAACAGAAAACCTACTGAGGAATTTATTGCTTGTTTCCCCAGGCACCCCTCAGTCTTACCCTCAGTAGGCTGTTTTATCTAACATGGCGGCATATCGTAGAGAACAAACCTTGATCTCCCCGAGCGATGTCTCCCCAAATCTTCTGTAAGAAGCTTAGGACCCAATGGCATTTGGCATTTGGAGGTGGCTAGATTTAGATGAGGTCAGGAAAGTCAGTCCTCCCATTAGAAAGGCACAGGTGAGAGGCCAGAACTCTCTCTGCCACGGGAGGAGACAGTGGGGAGGGGCCGCCTGCGAGCTAGGAGGAGAGCCCTCGCCAGAACCCCTGATCTGGGACTTCCAGCCGCCATGCCTGTGAGGAGGTATTTGCCACTGAGGCCATCAACCCGAGCTTGTGTGCCAGCAACCCGAGCTGAGTAATTCCTCACACTATACAAATAAGAACAGGACTGATAGAAGCGCCACCTAAGTAGGGGGATGGAGCATTTGACTATATTCCCAAAAGAGAACTTTCTCTCAGAGTTTAAAATCTGCACCTGATGCATCTATACAGAAAAACATAGAATCTCCTCGATAACGGTAGTGATTCTTATCCTGGTTTTTTGTTGCTGTCGTTGCCAAAATCATTCTGGATGAAGGCAACAGCAAACACATTTTAAAATGAATTATTTCTTTTTACTGAGATACTCAGTTTTAAAGAGATAGAATTTTGAAATAGTTCCCTCAGCTACCCGTTTGAAGACTGAGACCCGTCTTTTTCAGTGATTTTTGGTCCTTAACACTTTTTCTCTCAGTCGTTATCCTTAATGTTAATTATGTCATGGCAATCTTGTTACTTTCTCCTATGACCAAACTCTGACTTTTGTGTACCTTCGTTTATTTTAATTACAGTTCACAACACTTAGGGAAATGTTCATTAACACTAGAATTACAACAATTGCGAGAAAGCCAGACTATAGCGTACTCTGAAAGCACAAAATGAGAAGAAGTGAAGGGAAAGACATTGGGGGTGCTCTGCTCCACATTACAACAGCACCCCAAACCCAAACGAAATGAAGTGACAGCCTGCATAGGTACGTGTGTACGTGTGTACAGAAACATGGAAAAGGGTGAGATGCTCCAACTGTTTAACGAGACCTCCCTGGAGAGCAGGATGGTGCTGCTGCTGGTGGTTAGTTTGGTGGGGGAGCAAAAGAGGGGAGCTCTTTGATGGATTTATTGGAATCCTTTTCAGGGGACATGATTGACCTGGGTGACTTGTGTGGTTAATAAGCCAAGATCTTACTAAATAAAAATGCTGGTCAGGAGCCCACAGAGCCAGGGGAAGCCTATGGGCAGAAGGGAGCGCTTGAGGTGGTTTAGGGAAAGATGGGGTGCTCATGAATCTTCTGGAGAAGCCCATGTGGCTCCTGCTCCCCAGGCTAGTGCGGATGATCAGTGAGTTCCGGGAGAGGCCAGAGCTCCAGTGTGAGGGAAAGTGAAGGTAAATAATTTCTCCAACAAAACCGATTAAATTAAATGCATTTTTCATTCATTAGAAAAGAGAGCAGGCCCTCCTTTGTTTTATTAATATATTTAAGCAGAGTATGGATTTTTGCCTTTCTTGGCCTATTTGCCTGGTTCCCACTGGCCCCTGCTGTCTTTTTATTTGAATTATCTGTTTATTATATTAGGTTAAGAAACCCAAAGGCCATTTTGCAAGGGACACGCTATAAATACCCATTATCACAGTTATATATTATTGAACTGATGAAGGAAGACAATTTATGAAGAAATTAGATGATCTCAGTTTTTCGATAATCTATTTTATTATAGTCTGAAGATTACATATGCAGTTAAGAAAATGAACCAAATCTCGCAGTTGGCAGTCCTGGTCGCTCTGTCTACACAGCGGTGATATTAGGGGAGCTAAACGTGGAAAGCTAATATATTTATGTCAGCAATCCCCCCCCCTTCCCACTTGTACACACCTATTTCATTCATCATTTTGACAGTTTGCACAAGCAAACTGTCCTAATTTTTTCAAGAGCTCTTTTCACAAATTGAGTGTGACGTCGAATTCATCATATCCTTTTGGCTGGGGTGGAGGACTTTCCTTGCCAGGGAGCACTCACTCCTTCTGTGCTCAGCTGCACGGCCCCTCACATCCCTGTCCTCAAACGAAGGACCCCTGTGTCCTCATCTGCCTTCAACTGTGGAAGTTTGACTCTGACGCCTGTGTTGAAAATATCCCTATAATATCTTAAACATTTCCCCTGTTTCTTCCCAGCAAGTTGTCATTATGCCTAGTGCTATTTTGCCTTCTTGGGGATTCTCCTCTTCATCACATCTATCCCTTTATTTCCCCCTCCTCCCACCATCTTAAAAAATAAAAGACTGGGACCCTCCCCAGTGGTGCAGTGGGTTAAAGCACAGCACTAAGAAGCTAAAGCCACCTCATCATGAGTTCGATCCCCACCCAGGAGCTGAACCACAAAGCATTGCAATCCTCTCTTGACCCGCCTGCTGCTCCCCTCAGCAGTGTACTTCGTCAGTTGGCCTGTTCTGCTCCCCATTGCCTTGGTGAATCTTCTCACCGCCCCTGCACCTCAGGCCTGTACCCCAGTTTTGTATGCATAAGTAAATCTTAAAAAAATACAAGATCCCCAATCAGTTTCAAATGGAAAGCGCTCCACATGAACCCAGAGAAAGAGCAGACAACCTATTGGCTTGTCTCCCTGCATTTCACCTAGACTAACATGGCAGGAAAAAAGGGTAAAGAGAGAGAGTTTGCAGTGGTAACTTCTGGTTTGAATTTTTTACTATAGACTTGGCAACATAAGCCTCATAGGTAGAAATGTATACTTTTATGCCCACTGATGTTAACCCAGGGAGGAGAAAATCCTACCCAATTGTAGTTAACCATTTAGGCTTAAAATTCTAGCCTTGACCCCTGTGTTGTTTTTTATCCCCTCTGTTGTTCCAGAAGAGAACAATCTGAAAACTATAGCCCAGATCTGTAATTGCAAAGACGCTGTTGGATAAATATTAGTGCTTTGCTCTGCTGCACTTTAAAAATTACATAGATGCTGAAAGTTTAGTGGAAGGAGCAGTATTTATATCTCAAAAGCATGTGGGAGAGCCTCACAAATATTAGTTACATAAGCCTCATGATCGCTGTATTCACACAAACACAAAGTGGCTTTATAACAGAGAAACTTTCTAAACCTTTCTCCTGTGTGCAGACTCTAAGGAAGTGAAGCTTATGTGTCACTTCAGCTTCGACTTTCAATAACATGAAGCTTCACTTCCTTCACAGGAGAGCTGCGAAATCAGAAACACATGCTCGCTCCCGACTCAGTAGCTAAGTGGCTGGGTGACTCCGGACAAATCTGTTTCCCTCTACAAACAGATTCATACACAAAGCAAGAGAGTCAAGACCCCTCAAAATCTCGGTTGAGTCTAGCCACACTGCTTCCTGTCCCTAATGCGTTATTCCTGCTCTTGTTTGCAAGTGGATATTGTCCTGATATTATCCTTGATTATATAAGTTATCGAAACATACTTGTTTTAATTTCCTATACTAGGCTTCCACTGTTTGGACTAGAGATTAACATTCCTGTTTTCCTTTCCACTGGAAAAAGCATAGAGAAACTCCTAAACGTGAACCAGGAATAACAACGGAATGTGAGAAAGGATGATGGATTAAGATCTCATGAGTTTCTATATGGGCTTTAGATTGTGTGGGAGCTTATAATAATTTTTCTTATGCGTAATAAATTAATTGGTACATATGATTTTAATTGTTCAATTATTGAATAGTATTTTTGGTTAAATCAAAGAATGAATTAATCTTAGTAACTTAGACTTTGACAGACAATTGTGCAGAACTCATTTGTTCATTCTTTGGGGATACATGAATATTCATGGACTGATATATTCAAGGTTGATGGAGTAAATGTGTATATATACATAGACAATATCTATATACATCCAGGTATTACATACATTTATATGGATATATGTATGTATGTATATCATATACAGATCTATATGGGCAACTGAAAGTACTCAAAATGAGTACTCAGCTGAAAAAATATATATACATACTTATATGTATATATGTGAATTCACACGTACACACATCCATCTCATAATTATGAAGCTATCCAGTGATGAAGCTATCCAGAGAAACTATACCCCAGGAGCTCAGAGTCGGTCTGGGAACACCAGATATTCTGTGTGTCACCACACAGTAAGGAAAGACAGCTGCTAGAAAAGAAGCACAGAGGGCCGGTGGTTAGGAGAAGTGTCGAGTAATGTAAGTATGCTCTGAGACGCTTTCCTGTCTGTGTGAGAGCACATGGTTCTCATTCATTCTAGACTCAATATTCCTTGAGTGAATAAGTGGGTGCAAGTGAGACAATCAGTCCTTCACCACAGGCAGGTGAGACAGAACATGAACTTTGGTGTAATCAAACCCGCAAAGTTATTGATAAGTGATTTTACTTGGTAAAGAGCAAGAGGAAGCAAAGGGTGTAAGAGGACGAGAAGTCAGCCATAAGCGACAAAGCACTGAAACCAAACGTTGAAGCCAGCAGCTGTTTCGCTTATGTGTGCCTCAGACTGAGGGTTTGTGTCCCCTTGACACTGACCATGTTGAAGCCAAATGCCCCACGGGGGAAGAGAGGGCTTTCAGGAGTTGAGGAACTCATATGGGTGGAGCCCTCATACATGAATTAGTGACCTTTTTAACAAGACTTCAAAGAATTCCCTCTGTCCCATCAGTCATACAGGTTACACTATGTAGGGCTTCTATGAGTAAGGAGTCAGGCTCCCATCAATAAAGTCTGCTGAAGCCTTGATCTTGGGGCTGCCCACCTCCAGATCTGTGAGAAGTAACTTTCTGTTTGTAAGCCACCTGCTCTAAGGGATTTTGTGAAAACAGCCCAAATGAATTGAGATACATTGTTAAACTTATTGTGCATGGAACAGAGAAAATGGCTTCGGCATAAGAAGGACATGCGTTCATGCTCTCCTGGGACATAGTTACTAGCTCTCGGCACATTAGGATCCTCATGATCAAATGATGATATCACTTAGTTTAAAGAGGTCTCATGGAAATTCAACAATATGAGCCTACCTCTCCTATCAGTGGTGCAGTCTAGCTTCAGTTATCTCATTTGTAAAAGGGGGATAAAAACATTAAGGACCTTAACAAGATGATGTGAGATAGTATGTATGATATGCCAACTACTTTCCTGCAAGTAGTCAAGGCTTGAGAAATCGAGGCTAGTCTTGAGCAGTAGTAGTAGTTGTCTATGCATCTTTGGCAGATGTAATAAAATTGCTACCATTTTATACACAGGTACACAGAACTATTTCCACACTATTGATTTAACTTATTTGGTGTTAAACTCCTTGTCGAGGGTTAGTCTTATTTCTCCAACATGTCAGGAAATGTTATTCAGAAGGTGAACTGAGGTTCTTAAATTAAAACTTCTGGTGAGGCTGGAATCAAGCTGAGGTGGTTTCTCTGACGAAGGAATCCCAAGTGTTCCCTCAATGTCTGCCACTATTGGTTCCATCACAGCAAAAGCCAGAAAAACCTGGGCTTAAATCCTGGCTCTGCCTTTTGTTACCCATGTATTTTCAGGACAGTCACTTTAGTCTTGCTAAGATTCAGGTTCCGTTTGCGGAACACAGGCACTGCTCTTTAAGGTTACTGGACATATTATGAAGATCAAATGAGAAGATGTATGTCTATGCCTGTCCTCTGGACACTCATAAGATGATGGTTAATTACTCTGTCTTAATTATGAAAACCCTAGTGGTAGAGAAACTGCCCCTAGGATTTCTCAGAATGCTAGTTCTTAATAAATGTTCAAGGAAGGGTAGGGGAAGCACAAACCAAATGAACTTCTACAAACTTATTTAACAGGCTAATAGCTGATGTTGACTCTTCAATGTGGGATTTGCGGTAATGTTTCTGAAACTCATTTAGCCACAGAATTCTCCAGTAGAGAAGACCCTGACAAACATTTATCAGAGCCCAACTACTGGAACATGCTGATCTAGTCAAGCATCTTCCTTTGATAGATGAGAAAGCTGCAGCCTGGACTGGAGAAGATGTGACAGAACCAGAGCCAGGGCTGGCCTGATGGCCTGGGTTCCTCTGGCTTGACACTATTCGGTATTAATGTGGTTCTCTTTCCCCCACTGCTCTAGGGTAGGCTGCTGATCCAAGTAGGGTTCAAGTGTGATACAGTCTTTGGTTAGCACAAAGACAGGAAGGGAAGCATGGTGGCATCTGGATAAAGATTATAGAAGACATGGCCACAGGCTGATTCAGAGCCTGAAAGCAACACCAGACGAAGCAACGAATCCTGACTGAGTCATTTTAACCTCTTGTTAAGACCCTGGTCTTAACCATGAGAAGATGCTGCATTGCACACTTGCAACCCCAGTATCCAGCGAAAGCGATGAAGGCAGAGGCTGCCTGTTAATATTACTAACGGCAGCCCAGGCACATAGCCATTTGCAGTCCGTCCATATTTTACTGACATGAGCAATTACATGTCCTGTAATGGCAATGAAGCAATAAAATTTATGTCTTGTCATCTTTAACAAGATTAGACATAACCCTTCTCATAAATATAATACTGAATGGAGATTTTTAAGAACATAAGTATAGATAAGGATCTTTGAGTTTATCCCTCCTAGTTAATTAAAATCCTCCCCAAGAATCGGCAGATGACAGATATAAGGATGTTGAACCTTTTAATCCATTGAAGGATGAACTAATGATTTTTTTGCATACCTTACTCAGCTTCAGCTGGGTTTCTGACTCACACTTGTACCATACAGATTTCAGGAGTGAGGCGAAGGGAGTCACGCCTATTCCTGCAGCAATGCACACGCTCACTGGGTAGTGAAACACGTCCATCAGTGAGGCGCCGAAGGGCCCATCCACCGCTAGCCTGTGGGAGCAAAGAGCAGCCTGGTTGTCAATCACAGCACTCTGCTCTCGAACACACAACTATTCTACATCTGGGCATTGTGTAGAACGCTGGGAAACAAGCACAGGCAAGTCAGCTTTGTGATCTGGAATACCTTATTTGGAGAGCTTGGGCTGAGCGTGAGGGTCTCTAGAGGCCTGTCTGATGGGGGATGATAAGACAGTTGAAAGCAGGTGCCATTCATGAAAGGACAAAGCCAGGGCCCTCCCTGGTGGTGCAGTGGGTTAGGACGCAGAACTGCAAGTGAGCTGCAGCTGTTCAGTGCAAGTTCGATCCCCAGCCCCAGAAGTGACCCACAAGGCACAGCAGACTTCTCCTGTTTCGCTTGCTGCTCCCCTCAGCAGTGTACTTCGTTGATCTGCCTGTTCTGCATCCCGTTCTACCTCTGGTGAATCCTCTCACTGCCCCTGCACCTCTGGCCTGTACCCCAGTTCTGTATGCATAAATAAATAAATCATTAAAAAGAAAGAAAGGACAAAGCCTGACTTCTCTGGCTTGAGCTCTTGCCTCTTCCATGCAGCACAATTTTCAAGCAGTTCTTAACTTGCTCTGGCTTTCAGCCCTTCTTCCCTCCCACCCTCCTCCTGTTCTCTCTCTCTTCCCTCCTTGTTTTCAAGCTGCCATCAGAAGAAAGAAACAGAGGCATCAAGGTGATTTCGAAGACTCAGCTGTTCTTCTACTATGTAATTCTCCCTATTTTTATTGGTTCAGAACCACATCTTTGTAAATTTATATAATTTTAGTCTAATTGAAAGCATCCATTTAGAATGAATATGATTTTAAAATAATCTGTCAGGTAGACTTTCTAAAACACATTATTTTAGATTATGTGAACTCAAAATCTGAAACAATTAAGCTGGGCAGCATTGTTATTTTATTGTGCTTAGCAAATTTTTCTTTGTAAGAATTGACCTATTTAGGGGCCCTCCCTGGTGGTTCAACAGGTTAAAGCATAGCCCTATGCAGCACAAGTTTGATCCCCGGCCAGGAGCTGACCCACATGGCACAGCAGACCTCTCCTGACCCACCCACTGCTCCCCTCAGCGGTGTATTTCAGTTGATCCGCCTGTTCTGTTCCTCACTCTGTCTCTGGTAAATACTCTACCCGCCCCCCCCCACACCCCAGCTCCTGTAAGCGTAAATTAATAAATCTGTAAACAAACAAACAAAAAAGAATCAAGCCTATTCCTTGAATATATATGACTGTCTTCAACATGGTCCTAGACAGTGATCTCAGTGATCTCTGGATTCTGCTCCAGCTCTCCACACTTCCTTTTCTGCCATTCCTTAAAACACATAACATCTCCTATTGCCAAAAGGGATTGGCATGTGATAACCCAAGTAATAAGTTGGAGTACTCTGCCCCAATTTCCCTCTTCCCCCCGATTTAGCTAACAGTAGATCTCCCAGTAGGTCTTATTCAGCCATCACTTCCTGGGGAGACTTCTTGGACTCTTGAAATTACTTACAGCCCCTTGCACCACACCCTTTGCAATGCTTGGCACAGTTCCAGATAGCCATGTTTTTGGGAAGGGAGATGAGCACAGATGATCTGTCGTCTGAAGGACTGAATCCCAAGTTCTGTGGGGATAGGAGCAGTGTCTGTTGCTCACCACTGCATCCCTGAACCCCTAGTGCTTTGCCTGGGAATGTTCCTAACAATTTGCTGAATAAATTGCAAAGGGAATGGTTAAAATATTTCAGTCAGCAGAATGTATTAAATAAACTCAACTATTCCAAAAGCATGCATTTACATATGAACAAAGATATGCTAATTAAAAGAGTTCTAAGTTATTCATAACCATTCCCTAAGGGGTGTCTGTGAAGGCACCCGAGGTTAGCCCTTTTGGGCTTACTATGTGTTCATGAAAGTTCAATTGTGTTTATTTAAAAATATTCCATATGCCAGACATTCTAACAATTCAAATGAACTCTCCTCAAGTTAATCTTAATTAATAAGGCTTTATTACATATTGATATATGGAAATGGAAGAGTAAAAATAAAAGGTCATTAACCAGGAAGGGTTAGTGTCTCAGCCCACTGTAGATTACTTATAAATAATTAGACAAGGAGCACTGTGAGAGAAAAGATGGGGACTGTCCATGGATTAAAATGTCTTATTGTTAATTGTTTTTATAATTGGTCGTATCTAGGATTTATTTGACACTGATTTTAGAAGATAACAATTAAACCCAAAATGAATTGTGTCATATAATCCACAGAAGTACATAACAAACACATTTCTGCATCATTAGAATGGAGAATCTAAGCTGGAAGTGGCAGGAATAAATATTTATCCCAGCTTCCCTGCGAGTGGAGGAAGCCTGCCTTCTACTTCCCTGGCAGCTGGGCATGTTTTGATGGTAGATCGCAAGGCACCTTGTTCCATGTCGACAGCCTTTTAAATGCTAGCTGGTGTTTTCTTGTGTCTCACTGAAATCATCTTCCTACGACTCCAGGCTTTTGCCTGCCTAAGAAACACAGTCCATCCCGCTTGTTCCCACCTCCCAACCCTTTAAATAGTCAGTTGTTGTTCTCATGACAAACAATCATGACCGATTGTTTCTTTTGGACTGCAATTACTCGTGCCCTTTCTCAAGACTTCTCACAATCCTGAAGGAGCTTTCTTTGCACTCATTCTGGTTTATTAAGCTCACTCAGCTTCTCCCTCTTTGTTTGGACACAGAATTTTCAATGAAGCAGCTCGGAAGACGACTCACCCTTCCAGGACCCACTTCATGCTGTTCCCTGTTGCTCAAATTGAGCAGCAGCCTCTCCCCCTCCTCATTAACCTGCTCTTTACTCTGACTCCAAGACCCTTGTTCATCTAACTTGTTCTTCCTGTCTGAGCGTCCCTGGCAGTCTCATCTCTGTTGCACGTGGTCTTTCTTATTTGCAATAATAAACGCACCATTTTTTTTTTCCCTCACTATTCATTATGCTGGGGACCCTGAGTCCTAAACCCTCTGCACTACTGTTACTACCCCTGTAGGCCTGCTAGCCGAGGGCACAAATACCAGTCACCAGCTTCTGGGAAAAGAACTAGCTCAACAAAAGGTCGTTTGGTGGAGGGTGGAGGCAAGGCTCTCCATCACGCTCCATGAGGGTGGAGTTCTGGGCAATATCTATGGGGTTGAGGAACAAAGAAAGTCTAACAATTTTTAAGTTGGTCGAGTCTGATAGATTGCTGCCTGCCGGGCCATGGTGGTCACTCAAACTGCTACAAACGGAGCACCCCTGGCCTCTGAATGCTGTCTGTCTCCCCTTAACTCAGGTTTCTTGGTTCTGTCATCCGTGGCCATTTTTCTGTCCAGCAATGAGAGGATACCTGAAGGACAGTGATCCCTCTTCTGGACCAATGCTTTGAAACACTACTTTTCAACGAATAAAATACTATTTTTTCCCCCTCATTTAAACTGGGTAGGGGTATGCTTATTCTATTGATTCACCCTGGAAAACATGCCCTGTTGTTTTTGCATGATAAGCAGAAACAGAAAGAGATCACCACAACCATGATGGTTTCATGATTCTCTTCATTGACAGATGAGGAAACTGAGGCACGATGTTACAGACACTCCCTGTGATCACACTCAGAGCTGGGCTCAAACCAGCTGCCTGACTCTGGTTCTGGGCAGCAGGTTCAATCTCTGACAACTCTAGCGTCATGCCTGGGAAGTTCTTCCATCAAAGGCAAAGACTTTCAGAAGAGCTCACTCAGCACAACAGTGTTGAGTACGAGGCTTCCTTTCCCTCCACATCCTCGCTACCACTTGCTGTTTCTGGTCTGTCTGGTCAGGTATGAGGTGGTATCATTTTGTAGCTGTGATATTTATTTCCCTGATGATAAGAACCACTACATCACTTGTGGCATTAACCACCACTTGATATTTCTTTATACCCTTCAGAGATGGTAGAGAAGGAATCTTCTGATGCTCTTTTGAAATATCATACTCCCATTCAAAATGTTTTTCCCATAACTTAAAAAAAAATTTGATACATCTTTGATTTTTCTAATTCTTGGGAAATTCTTCAATAGAGTGGGAGTCAACTTGAAGTCATTGTTTATTAAAAGAAGCCAAGGAGTGGTAATTTACTGGGGTTGCTGCCTATGCTGCTGAGGATGGAAGTGTCTGTGTCTCCTCAGTGGTCATGTTGTAGCCCTATCCCTCAGGACTTTACAGCATGTCTTATTTGAAAACGAGGCTCTGGCAGGTGCACTAATTCCAGTGAAGATGAGGTCATCAGGGATAGGATGGACCTTTAATCTAACATGACTGGTGTTTTTATAAGAAGGGCTCACAAAAATGTGGAGAAGTGGGGAGCTCCCCTGGGTGACAGGCGCAGCATTTAACTGTTTAACTGCTGCAGTCTCAAACCAAGGACACCGAAGCATCCTGGCCAGACCCTGGAGGCAGGAGCAGGCAAGGGAGGGGCTTCCCTGCAGGTGTCACAGGAGCACAGGCCTGTTGGTGCCAGGTGGCAGGTCCATGGCCTTCCAAATGGAGAGAAATAAGCTTCTCTTGTTATAAGTCGCTCACTGTGCGTGTGCTTTGTTAGGATGGGGTCCAGGATGCACACAGATGCTCCCCCTCAGCTCCACCCTTCAAACATCTCACTTTCAGCAAGGTCACATCATGTTGATTTCACTAGACCTCTTCAAGTCCTAGAGAAATGGAGGCAACATTTTGCCTTCTTTGGGCTTCTGGAGCACAGTGGTTAGCTAATACTGGTGGCATTCACATACATGCAGGGCTGCCTGCCTGACATTGCTGATTTTCCAGACTCTCAGATCACTTTGTCATCTATAAACCTTTGATCTGGAATTACTTAGCTCCTTCTCTAGGGTAGGCAACCTGCCAGATGAACGCCGGTTGCGATATATCCTTTTTATGAAGACCAAACATCACGAATGTCACCAATATAATTTTAGACTGTGACAGTGAAAAGTGCACAGGGCTGACTTACTCATCACAGTCTGTGCAGAACTAGTCAAGTGATGCTCTGGAGCTGGAAGAGCAAAATCCTCCTGCTCCTTAGATCACTGGCTGCCATGGTTAACATTTGCTGTTTGAAAAAACGTACATGGGTCCTCCATGGTGGTGCAAAGGGTTAAAGTGCAGCACTGTGAAGCTGGCGGCAGCTGCTTCAGCAAGAGTTCTATCCCCAGCCAGGGAGGTGACCCACAGGGCACAGCAGACCTCTCCTGTCTCCCCTCGGCAGAGTGTTTCAGTCCATCCACCTGTTCTGCTCCCCACTCTGTCTCTGGTGAAGCCTCTCACTGCCCCTGCACCTCTGGCCTGTACCCCAGTTCTGGATGCATAAGTAAACCTTTGAAAAAAATTAAACATGTACCTGTTTCGCTAGAAATCTACTCGTACTTTCTAGTCTATCCAATTTAAAAATTGGATTCAAACGTACTACGTAGAATAAAGAGATGCTGGAGTCGGAGGGCTGTGGACATACTAAAATACCTGCTTTCTGGAATACGCTACACACATGGAAGAGGAGAAACAGGCTCCCACCTTGGCAGGGGCCGGGGCGCCTGTGGGGCCGGGCCGCCAGCTCCGAAGGCCTCACACAGCGCCGCTGTCCAGTCGCCTGCCGCCTGGATGTGCACACTGAAGAAGTCTTCCTGGGGGGCCGAGGTGAGTGTGAACGGGTGCCACTCCAGGGCGGAGATGGCCGGGCACTGCAGCAGGATGTACTGCCCGGGCGCCATTTTAAAGCTGCGCTTTCTCATCTGCAGTTCCAGGACGCCGGACGGGTGGCTCACCACCTGGGTCGGAGACAGAGCTTTGGCCTTTTACACAGGTTCAGTGGTAAGAAAGCAGGCTTCCTTCTGAGACCGTGGTCAGAAACGGTCTGCAAAGTCCAAGTCTGTCTCCCAAGGTACCATCGCAGGCAGCCCGGGGCCTCTCCCCTGCCTGTCTCCCCTCCCCCTTCTCTACCGTCTCTGCCTGTCTGCTGGTTTCTCAAGGCCAGAAGATTCTGGTCAGCTGAAACTGGTTGAAGCAAGTGATTGAGGAGTTCTGTGCTGGGACATGCCCACGACTCCCAGAAGTGAGGGGAATAACCTGCTGACATCACACCCTCCAGATCCCGCCAGCGCATGCTAAACCCCTTGAAAATGAGACCCAGTAAGAGGCCACATCAGCCACTGTGCCTGCAGGTTCGGGCCACCCTCTCCCTTCTCCCTTCTCCACCCTGCTCTGTTCTCCTCCTCGCCCTTCAGAGCCCCCAGCCCGGGGAGGGGCAGGAGGCAGATTCCAGAGGAGGCAGCTAAGAGCCTGCTCTTTTCTTGGCGTTTGACCCGTCAGTCATGCCCTTTCTCTGCTCTGAAAGCTGTGGTCACACCGTTTGCCCGTCCGGCCGTCCACCACGGGCCGCACTCAGTCGGGTTATGATTCCTTCAGAGGTTTTGTAAATGTTCAACTAGTTTTGTCTTTGAGGAATATTTTACATACACGACTTGCTATGAGCTTCTAGAACCTTTGCTGTTGTTTCCATATTTGGGCTGGCAGCTCCAGCCAGAATGAAATTCCTCACGCTCAGAGAGCTGTGCCTGAAATTTGGGACGGTATGGCCAGGGGCAAGATGGGGTCCAGCATGTGACATTATGTCTCAGATAACCAGGCTCCCAGCAGACTGTGGAGCGCATCTAAGAGAATGTCAACTAACTGCTTTAAATATTTATTTTGTAGAAGAACTGGGGTTCAGACTGGAAGTGTGGGAGGGGGTGACAGGCTTCCCCAGAGACAGAGTGGGGAGCAGAAGAGGAAAATGGACAAAGTACACTGCTGAGGGGAGCAGCCGGGAGACAGGAGCAGTCAACTGCATCATGTGGGTCACTCCCTGGCCGGGATGGAACTCGGGCTGTAGCAGTGATAGTGCTGAGACTTCACCCCGTGGCCACCAGGAAGGCCCAGGAGCTTATTACACAAGAACTTTATATACAAAACCAAATTTCCTTCCTTACTGGGACATCTCTCCAGGTCTTGTCTTGGCCAAAAGTATACAGGAATAAAGTCTAGGGTTTAGATCACGTGGCAGTATTTTTCCATTCAGGAGAGGATTTCACAGCATTTTGATCATTAGTTCTGTCTCTTTTCGCCCTACTGACATTTGCGCTGAAGCTCCTGGAAAATTGTCTCCTTAGTAACAGCTCTAGTATTGAATAGATTTCCAGAAGTTTTACTGTCTGGTTTTGGATACAACCTGATGCACTCTGGTGCTTAACTTAAAAACAGCAACACAGAAACAGCTTAAATCAGAACTACGGAGCAACCCCTCTCATCTGCTCTCCTGACGGCAGTTTCAGAGACCACGTGTCCTGTTGACATTCAGCTAGCCCAGAGGCGTGGGCTCGGTTAGCAGGGAATTTGTCTCTGGCTGTTTAAAAAGAACCTGGGAGACAGCATTTGGGAACTTTTCAGTCTCTTTATCATGTATTCTTGGTTGATATACTCACATCTTCCTCCAGCATGGGGTAAAAATTGGGGAGATGGGTGTGTGGGGCAAGATGGAGCAATGCCATCATGAGGCACTCCTCTAGGAGAAGCTCTTCCTCTGCCCTTCCCCATGGGGATCCACTGTACCCCTTTTTCCTCGGAACCTGAGGCTGACTGTTCTTCCATCCTTGCTTACAAGTCCCAGATGTGAGAGTGTGTGCTTGAAAATCCATGTACATACTTGTGTGCTTGCCAAATTCATGTCCTCATGTGGTGAAGGAAGTCATTCTAGTCTAGGTTATTATGATCCTAAAGTATACACAGTCCACCTGAGGAGATCCAAAATAAAGAGAAATGCAGAAGATTCCAGGGCTGTGTCAACCTTTTCCAGGTTAGGTACTAGTCTAAAGCCCAGTGAAATTAGTCACACTAGAAGATGCACAAGATGCCAGTCATTATTGGAATAGAAGATGAGTCTTTAAATTACAGATAGTTTTGTAATAAAAGTGGCAAGTTAAAGACTTGGGCTAATAAAAAATTTTCATCTACACTCAAGGTTTTATTCAGACATAAAGCTACATGCCTACCTTGGTAATGACCACCTCTTGTAGAAATCGCCAGAACCTAATCATTCTCTCACACGCGTACAGAATCACGGGGCCCAAGATCCACTTCCAAGCCTGCAAGGGCAGCAGAGAGGAAAAGGAAATAGAATAAAATTCAAATATTTTCCATTTGAACCAAATCAATGTGTGACATGAGGGTATTTAGACACGTTCCTTTAACTTTGGGCTAGTTACCAACAATGAAGATGTTGCCTTGTATTAAATATTAGAACATTTGATTATCCCTTGAAGTTTACAAGTTCAGTTAAGAGATTAAACTCTTCTGTATTGGTTTTTATGCTTACCTGATCGATGATGCCTTTCTGTGATTAGAAATAATTGAATTTACAAAGAAATAAAAAAGCAGGCTGAGGTCTTGCTATATGTGATAGAGTCACAGACCTTCCAACTTCAGCCAAAGTCAAGGCTCACCACACAGCTTTCCTGAAAACGCTGCAGAGTAATTTCTGGGATCAACATTGCTTCACTATGTGGGGCCTGAAGGAACACCCACACACGGCATGCACGTGCACATACATACACAGACAATGCTATCTGGAAAAAAAGTCAGCTTGCAGCATTTTAAATCTAAGTTTACAGAATCAGGACAAAAGCCTCAACAATTGCCTGGAGACGTGCTACACTGAACATCTCTCTCCATTCTTTTAAGGTTTATTTTATTTATGTATGCATACAGAACTGGGGTGTAGGCCAGAGGCACCGAGGAGTGAGGGGATTCACCAGAGACAGAGTGGGGAGCAGAACAGGCAGACGGACTGGAATACACTGCCTGGGAGAGCAGTGGGCAGACGGGAGAGGTCTGCTGGGCCCTGTGGGTCACTCCCCGGCCAGGGATCGCACTCACACTGCAGTGGCTGTGGGCAGCTTCATAGTGTTGAGGCTTAAACCCCTTGCACCACCAGGGAGGCCCAACTCCGTCCTTAACAAATCGTGCCAGTGTGAGCCTTTGCGGAACACAGGCCGCACTGCAGAAGACCAGTTTGCCAGGAGGCTCCGTGTACTGGGTGTTGGGGCAGTGTCAGTTGTTCTCTCCCTCTAAAAGGGAAGGATGGGAACTTAATTTTTGTTGTTCTTGGAACCTGCGATTTTTGAAGACTTTTAAACTGTGTCTGAAACCAAGCGACTGTACGAGGCATATGACATTCTATTTTCTTTTTGCAAGGGAGGAATCTGAGGCTCAGCAAGGCCAAGTAAATCACCCAGGGCCAGAGAGACAAGTCAGGGGCACAGCAAAGACTCGGAGCCGGTGTGCCTACCCTGGAGGCTGTGCTGACTCGGGGTCTCTGCCGACCCTGTGATCACATTGCTTTCTCTCCAGTGCTGACACGCGACAACGCTTGTTTTACAAAGCCTTGAGACACGTCTGCACCGAGCTTTAGGTGGTTAAGGGTTCTTGGAAATGAGTCGAATTCTTCAGTGAAACACCTGACCTCTGGTTCGGGAGGCAAATAGAACAGATCAAGGGGCTGGGGCTTGAAGACAAGCCTTTCCTACTGGCCCGAAACGTCCCCCTTGGGACGCTAACTCACCAGCACCTGGGACGTAGTGTGGAAGCTCAGGGGCAGAGGAGTGAAGCATTTCTTGAACTCTCAGCCTCTGGCTCCCCATCTTCCGCCTTTAGTTCCCTCCTTACTTGTCATCTTACGTGTCTTTGCCAAAAACAGGTCACAAACCCATTTCTGTATTATTTTTACTTCTGTTACCTTTCCTGTTCTTCTGTTTCTCTTTTGCTTATTTCTGGCTCTGTTTGCGAGGTACCTCTGCTCACCCACAGCAACCCTCTCCACTTCCCACCCTGGGAGCCTCTTGTTTGCCTGGCAAAGGCTGGATTTATGCAGACAACACAAAGCAATTTGACCCACTTATTCTTTTCTGCCTCAGTGGGGTTCAGCAGCGTGTATAGAATAGCAGAGAGAATAAACCCTTTTGTCCACCTCTGCTGTGGGAAAGGTAGCAGCAACCAAAAGAGTGAGGGGTGGCGGTGAGGAGGTGGGGCTCTCTAGGTCTCGCATGGGCGAATGGAGCAGGAAGTGTTTTGCAGACGGGTTTGGATATTTACAGGCCTGATAGCAAGCATACAGTTCTTTCTGCAGAAGCTTAGAGAGAGATTTGCAAAGACACTCACCTGGTCTCTATGTATTTTTACAAATAATCTTTCCTGCCCATTTTAGAATGTTGAAGACGCTACACAATTCACTTGGCATCAAGTCAGTCACGATCTCTGATTTTTCCCATGTTGATAAAGTGGAGTAAATAATTGTTCTTTGATTAGTCAGGAAGGAGAATGCAAACGATTAATCCCTGGCTCCATCTCTACCCCAGGATATAAACTGATCCAGAGGAGAAAGCCCCATTTCTTTACATTCAGTTCTCCTGGAGCTCTGGGACTGAGGGAAGGAGCGAGGGAAAGGCAGGGCCACAGGTGAGCTGTGGCAGGTGTTCCAGGCAGAGATGACCAGGTTAGAAGGTGCAGGTGACAAGGTAACCTGCCACAGCAGGCCGGCACTGGACTGGTCTTGAAGCCTTAGCTTCTGATCTTGGGGTGACTACCATTGCCACAGAGGCAAATCTTGGGTCTTGCCATGTTCCTATTTCCTGTTTTATCAAATGGGATAGTTGGAGGAAAATTTTATCTTGTGTCAAGATTTTAAATGGCTTAGCTTTACTCACAGCTATATAAATGGAGTCATAGATCCAATGTAAATACATTTATTATGCAAATATAATATTGGGGCTATATTATTGTAGAGGGCAACAGCAAGTTGGCAAAGAGAGGGGTGGAAGAGGCTGGGGTGGTGGGGTGGAGTGACTCTTGAGGAATGCAGGGGAGGCGGATCCATGGCTGCCTGATGAGGCTTTGCTGGGACGCCCCCCAGGGTCCTCTGATATCGAAGCTCCCTGGGTATCGGTATCTCCATCTCTACTTCTGCCCAAAGAAGGGGCAGAACTGTTTAGTCCCTAAGTTTCTTTAACACTAAAATACTCGTGGATCCTTAGCTTTATTTTTTCTTCTCTAAAAATACTCAAAAAGTCATGGTACAGTGAGTATTTTATGACAGAAATAAAACGATGTTGATTTAAAAGCAGTAGTAATGCAACTTGTTTCCTCCACTTTCGCTCCTGGTTTTTCATTTCTACAAGAAAATAAAAACATGCTGGCTTTGATTTTATTTTATGTGTGTGTTTACGAGTGGCTTCTTTTTCTAGACAATAAGATTTCTAGGGACAGAAGCCGTGTCTCTGAATCCTGCTTCTGCTATAATGCCAAGCATGGAAAAGCAGTTTGGAAAAGGTTGCTGAAATGATTTGGCCACAGTGAAAGCATTTCCTGAGACTATCAATATTAGCACTATTCTCCTGTAATTAAAAAAGTGTCATTACTATATAACTATCACTATTGCTCGCCTCTGTCATTTAAATGAAAGCAGGTGCTTCTTTTACGGAAGGCCAGGCATTTTTGAGAAAGGATTCCATGAGCAATTCCGTCTGGAGTCTTATGGGTCTGTGGGTGTGGGGTAGAGAGGAGAGTGAAAAAAGTCGGGGAGCAGGACATTGCCAGGTCTACAGGCATACCTCGCTTTATTGTGCCTCTCTTTATTGCAGTCTGCAGATCCCAAGCTTCTAAAAAACCCCAGGGTTCCAGCAGCACACGCCTGTCTACCGCCATTTCCCCAACACACGTGTTCATTTTGTTTTTCATATTTTAGCAGCAAGTTTTTTTTCCCTCCAAATAGAGGTGCAGGCATTGTTTGTTGTCTTTTGTCTTTTTAAAGACATATGGTATTGCACACGTTAGATCGCAGCCCAGTGTATCTATAATATGCACAGTGTATCTATAATACCAAAAAAAAAAATTCACATGAATTGCTTTATGGTGATATTAGCTTCACTGCCTTGGTCTGGAGTCGAACCTGCAGGTCTCTGAGGTGTGTCTGCAATTCTTGACCATGGCGTTTATGGGACGTAATGTGCAAAGGGTCCCATTCTTACTGGGAGCATTACTGGGAGCAGAGCCAGTAAATATTTACCCAGAGTAAATATTCAGATTATAAAAGCATCATGAAAACACACCGGCTAAGAGAGGCAAAGAGGGAGAGCTGGGGCCCTGCGAAGCCTGGGGAGTGGGTGCAGTGGAGCGCAGGCACCCTTCCTTGTCCTTGGGCTGCCTTTTGGATGCTGCACAGCGTCTCCGAGATATCAGAGAGAATATTGTACAGTTCAGCCAAGCGGTAATTGCACAGCCCACACACGCTTTGAATCAGGATCCATTAAAAATAATGGGAAAGAGTGACAACATGAGTTTGGGTGTGCAAGGAGGTGTAGCCAGGGAGAGTTAACAGAGAGATGGGTAAGTTCCCCCTTTAATGATAATTAATGTCAGCAAAGGCGGCAGGAGCAGGTTCTGGTCTGTATGCAGGAGGAGTGGGAGGGTATTGATTTTTTTATGGAGATGCTGTGGCTGAAAATTTTAGAGCGGCATTCATGTTCCTCATTAATATGCAGGCTGGGTAGTGGCTCCTGATAGTTGAGTTTAAGACAGAGACAATCTATACTGGCCATTAAAAGAAACACAGCCTAATGGCACAGCTATTCAGTCCTCTCCACTTTACACATTCCTCCTCACAGTTACACCCTTAAAAATTCAGTGCTTAATATAGCTGAGGATTTTAGAAAACGTCAGTCATTGTATTTTTTTTTGTATGTAGATGACTTGATTTCCTAAATCCTCACCATTTGTAGACTATAATCATGTGTCTTACGATATATATTTTTGGTACATGTCATCCCTAGTTTTAATCTGCTGGTTTCATGTATTTTCTCCCATGCATCACCCAGCTATTCTGAGGTTTGATTTATTCTAAGACACCCGAGGAGCCCGAATGGGATTATTATTGCTTTTTACCTATGCTAGCAACTGTAGTGACTGCAGCATACCCTGGAAACCTGCTTTTGAGATCGCATGGATATTATCATCTACTCTAATTAATTAAGACTCTTTGGGGCTAACGTCATTATTTCAGTATGGGAGCTTCATTAGAACAGGAAGTAAATGCATTCCGACTCCCCAATTTTGGGGATCCTAAAAGTTGTAGAAAGAGAGAAGGCAAGCACATGAAGAGGGCATGATTCTCCTTTGGTAGTGCTTACAACTTCTGAGCAGCAATACTATTAATTCTCAGAACGGAGAGGGCTTAGTTAAGCAGGGACCACCAGCCACGCACGCCGGGAGCAGAGGTGGCAGCCAGAGGACTTTCTACTCCCCAGAGACAGGATCGGGCTGTGAACCCCCACATAGCTGACAGTCATCTTTACATGTAAGTAGAAGAACACAGTTCAAAACAGACAGAGTGCTTTTGGCAGCAAACCTCTTTTAAAGTTACCCATAACTCGATTTCTCCATTAGCGCACTTAATAAAGAGTTGGCTTTGTTTGGTGGTGACATGGGCTGTTCTTTTTAAGCATCTAAGTGCTCTAGTTATTTTACCTATGGCGACAACTATTTTTGCAGGCTCCTGGGTTCATACTTACCGAAGGTTCCTTGCCAGAAAACTGAGGCGAGGAGCAGGGCGCGGCTGTGTGCCATTCAGCATAGTGGGCTATGCAGAAGGTGATGTTGTGCAGCCGTAGACTCTCTGGGGTTTGGCCTCGAACCATCCGACTTGCCGTAACAAAAATAAAAACAAAACACCCCCCCCCCATGTACACACACATTTAACATAGATTCTGTGCTGTATTGGGAGACATTGCAAGTGGACTCTGAAATCACACCATCCCCTTCTTGAAACCTGGGCTCTCATTCCACACCCTTAGCTTAAAACGAGCCTTTAAGAAGCTTTGAGACACCTTGAAGGTCCCAGCAAAGAGGTGCCCTCTGTGGTATCCTGTGCTCAATTGAAAGTGTCCATATTAGAGAATTCATAATGAGGGGAAATGGTTTGAACACATCCTTTTGTAGACTGCTGAATTTAATTAGGTCACATCTCATCCTGATCACTGATTTGGGCTAATTGGCTAACTTTGTACTACTTGGGTGTTTTGCAGATTTATTTAACTTTTACCCTTCTGGATTTGTCTCTGAGAACCTAAAAGTTTTCAAGTGCAGAAGTCAGAGGAAGTGACCAGAATAAAGAAATTGTCCCCTTGTGCCCAGGGACCACTAGCTGACTTAGTGCTTGACAGAGGCAAAATAGATCAGCGCATCTTCAAGATTCTTTGATGAACCTGGGAGGGAAAAGGGAAACTGGCTTTCAGGAACAGAGCCTGGGAGCCAGAGTTCTCAATGCAGCCATATTACCTTGTTACAAGCGCAGTGCTCACCGAGCTTGCACGGGCTGCTCCTTGGTTCCTCACTGGGGCAGAGGTGCGGACAAGACATGGAGACGCTCACAGACGAGACATGAACACCACACAGCTTGTGTCCTGGGCAACCTGGGAGTGACACGCCCCCTTCTGCACTGGGAGTCGGGTGACAAAGCCTTGGAAGCAGCAAGGAGAGCTGACATCTTGGCCTCTGTCCCAGGCTGCTTCATGGAAGGCATCCAAATTTGATAATAACCTCTTGACTCAGATGAGCAGAGCTATCTATGAATCTCTTAGGAGCAAAGCCGCCCTGATACAGGAACAGAGTAAGAAATGGGAGCCAGAGGAAAAGAATCTGCACATTTTAACACCTTCATTTTCAGACTCTGAAGGGCCTTCCCTAAATTATCTAAAGAAGTCTCAGAACATTCTAAAACGGCAGTATCTTTTTAAAAATTTTAAATTTGTTACGTCTTCATCTTTGCCATCCCATAATAGGAAGATTAGTGGGTTTTAACACATTCCAATAATCCTACTTTACTTGGCATTTTGTATAGAATTTGCAAATTACTTTTTGCTGTAAACAGTAGCTGTAGAATACTTCAAGCTGAGAAGATTAAATGAGGCCCTTATCCCAAAATAAGCCTTTCAACTAAGTTAGAATGACTAACAAATTTCATCTTAGGAAATGTTATTTGGATATTAGAAAGCATCTCCAGTGAAATGCTGCCCATTGAAATCTTTATGCTTCTGCAGTGCACCAGGGTGTGAAGGGGGACGGGTGACAGGATCAGGGGGCGTGTGATTCTGTGAAGAGTACTCTCGACCTACGTGGATCATGAAGAGCCCCTCAGATGTCTTGCAGGGGGGAGCACCAGCATTGGGAGAAGCAGTTATGGAGAAAGAAAGAACTGGCAGTTTCTAAGGTGGAATGTTCTGGAACTGAACTCTTCCCATCCCCCCACCCCCCCAAATGCAGAAAGTCAGGTCACACAGAAGAGCCAATGGCAGAGATTTTAAAACTAAAAGAGACTTGAAAACAGCCAGGCAGCAGCACATGTGTGCTCACTGGAGGTTACTGAGGATGAGCAAAGTGGGGGGCGAGGGGGGCAATTTTTCAGGTTCATACCCCAGGGGGACTCTCCCTGTTCACATCCCAGGGGTGATTCTCCCTGTTCACATCCCAGGGGTGACTCTCCCTCTTCACACCTCAGGGATGACTCTTCCTGTTCATAACCCAGGGGTGACTCTTCCTTCTACCAAGCCCATGTGTCAGACTCATTGAGGCGTGAAGGGGAGCTTTGCATCAGGCACAACAAAGGCAAAAACCGGCAACCCCTTGAAAAAGGGGGGGGGGGGCTGAGAAGGAAAGAGCCTCTTGCATGGGAGGGAGGTTGGAAGATGCAGTTGACTTGCCAGTGTGCACATCCCCCAAGGTTGCCACACGGCCTCGGCAGGTGACCCTGGCCAGGGTGGCATATCGCCTGTGAGGCCTTGGACTGGCTCTGGCAGGTCAGGCCAGGCATGGAGCTGTCTCTGCACAGCCTCAGCACCAGGCATGGAAGAAGGAGGTGCTGGCAGGCAGGAGGGTGTTTCTGCTGCTAGGGCAAGCCAGGAGGTGTCCATAGCCTCATCCCTCTTCTTGGGGTGGAGGGATGTGTAATTCACAGAGCGGAGGCAGGCTCTCCGGGGCCAATGGAGAGCAAGGTTTGGTGGTCCAAAGCCTGGCCTCTAGGGCTGCCATTGACAGACATTCATCCTGGGACCTTGAGTGAACCCCCGAATCTTCTTGAACATAAGCTTCCTCCTAACGAGATGGGCTAACAGAACCTTTCTATTTGAACAGCTGCTTTTAAAGGTCAAATCAATCATGTATCTCTACTATGAACATGGCAAAATGGACCAAAAAAGCCATCACTTTATGAATGAACCAGTTCAGAGCAAACTATTTAATAGACATTCGTTGGTGATTTGTCCAGCGTCATTCTGATCATATTTAAAGAGTTGACCACAGTTTATTTTGGTCTGTGATGCAGGCACCGCTCTAGATTCCTGGAGGGAGCCTGACAGCATCAGGCAGGTCCTGAATGCAGAACATTTTAGGGGATGTTTTAACAGAAAGGAATCCTAGAGGTGACTGGGGAAAGCGAGGTCGAGAGAATTTCAAGGGCTTGCACGCGGTCCTGCTGCCTTGTAGCAGCGCTCTGGCTAGAAGCCTCCCTGGACAGACTGACCCCTGCACACCTGCTGTCCCCACCTCCACATCAGCTGTCCTAATAGGTGGGTTTCATTAAGCACAACTGGAATCGGGGGGTCCAAAACGTATATATCCTCCCAACCCATGTCCACTGCATGGCAGAAATAGGTTCTGAATGAAAGGCAGATGTACCATTACCCACCATTCATTAACATACGTGAGACTTAAAACATGTCCAGATACCCTGACAGAATTAGCCAGGGAAAGTAAACATAACCCAACGTATATTGCTCGTTTTCAGTGTCGCTAAAAGGTGTTTACCACATGTGTATTTTCATAGCTTCTAGATGTCTGTGAGTCCCTTCCTGTCACATTCCTCCATCCAAAGGACTCTCTAAGATTAATTTGAGGTTCACAGAGATGAAACGTCCCACATTGAGTACAGCTGGACTTACCCTGCCCCATGGACAGCCAGGCTGATAAAGAAGAGGATGAAGACATGGTGTGTGTACCAGAACAGCTCGTAGGAGGCCTGTCTGATGGGCTCAGTAGACGAGGTCATGGTCAGGATGAGGGCCAGTGTGGTCACCAGCCCGGTCACGCCTGCGATGGTGAACAGCATCTCAGCAGTGGGGTTCTGAAAGGCAAACACATTCGCGTTCTGTCCCTGCCAGTGTCCCATTGAGGATCAGTCCATGGGCATCCAATCAGAGAGCCATCCCTAAGGAGCCAGCCTTAATGTGGCCCTGGCACAATACACAAAGAGAGGTCTCTGGCTTTTCCCGCTCCCCCCTCGGATGGAAGACCTTGGCTTTGGGCACATGCCAGTCCATGCCATGCCATTCATTCCACTTTTTTCTCATCTGTCTACATGATGTCAAAGTTATGATGCTGAATTGAATTAGGACAATATATAAAAATGCATCTGAGGATGAAATAACTCACAGTAAATCCAAGTTTCAAGGTTTTAGTTTTTAAAATAAAAATGTGGCTCAACAGGCTTAACTGAAACATGAAAACACACTTTTTGGGGGAGGTCCCTTTGGGGTCTTGCTAATAAGATAGCTGCCTGCTCTGTTTCCCTGGCGGTTCTTCCTTGCTCTTGCTTTTTAATTGGAAGGACCATGACTTGCATTTTCTTTCATGCCCCCTCTGGAGGCTTGCACTCAGGCTTTTTGTAAATCCTAAGTGATCAATAAAGATACAGCTATTCTTATCTGGTAGACTATGCCAAAAGCCAGAATTCTGACCTGGTAGCAGAGGGGACAGTTAAAGACCATTTTAGAATATGAATCACACCGCATCTTGTTCTTATTGTAAATTTCCCATATTCTCGCCAAGTCATTAGAATTCATACATGGTGTCACTATCATTGAGACTTCCACACACAATCAACTCAACTATGTCTTTTGTCAGAAAAATCTCATTAATTTGGGCTGCTCTGAGATCTCCAGGTAATTTGGACAGGACTTTCCGTATTTATTTTTTCTTCCTAGAGCAAACAGTGGGTATAAAATGGAAAGGGATAAATCTAAAACACTTAGAAGGCTTTTTTTTTTTTACCTCAAGTGTACTCAGGCACTTTGGAAATTCACTTACATCAGCTGATGTATTCATTTTAAATCATTCTTCTTTGCTTATTAGAGCAAGTCCCCATTTTTCTGTTTCTACAATATTTTCAATAGATTGGGCTGACTTACAATGTAACCTCGAAAATAATCTCCCTGCATCTCTTCACAAACAGTCTGTAATGAATACTTTGTGTTACTGATACTCATCATTCTCCCAACACTCAGAATTAAAGGGTTTCCTGAACTTAATTAGTACTCCATAGTATATTGCTTCTAAACATTTAAAATAACTATTGGAAATAGCTGAATCATCTTGCTAAACTGCCTCAGAAGTATTTACAAGAAAGATGTATTATTGGATAGGCTTTACAAAATGTTTGAGATGCATTTTTGTTGTGTCGGCTCTTGTAGAGCATTTGTGGGAAAAAGGGTGAACCCCAAGTAGAGGCGAGTCAAATTCTGTGGCTCAGCTGAGTGGTCCCAAAGGCACCTCCCAGGCTTAGGGCATCTGTAGTTTTGACTAATAACTAGGAAACTTGTTTTCCTTTGTGGCAACTAAGAAAATGTAGCTTTGATCAATGGCCTGATAGTGGAAATCATATTTGGACCTTAAGGGACAGGACACGGATGAATTTTCCTGAAAGAGACTTTGAATTTTGCTTCTTCAAAAATGCTTGTATGGGCCAAATAATCCCTTGAAAAGATGGGCCAGAAGATAACAGGGAGGCTGCCATTTCTGGTGAAGTTTGCCTTGGTGTTCTGCCCTGGGGCATTCCAAGATGGCAGTTCATGGCCAAAGGTTTAGATTAACTAGGAAGACAGAGATGTCTG